CCACGCCGTCGGCGCCCTGCCGAAGCACCAGTTCATGCGGTGGGAGCCGGAGATGGATCTTCTGGACTGGCTCCGGCTACTGTTCGGTTTCCAAAACGACAACGCGCGGAACCAGAGGGAGCACCTGGTGCTCCACCTGGCGAACTCGCAGATGCGCCTCGACCCGCCGCCGACGCTGGCTGACGCGCTCGACGCCGGCGTGCTGCGGCGGTTCCGGCGAAAGCTCCTCCACAACTACTCTGCGTGGTGCTCGTTCCTCGGCCTGAAGTCGAACGTGCTGCTCTCGCGGCGGCGCGACCCGACGGATCTCCGCCGCGAGTTGCTGTACGTGGCCCTGTACCTTCTGGTTTGGGGAGAGGCCGGTAACCTTCGTTTCACTCCCGAGTGTCTCTGTTATATCTATCATTTCATGGCGAAGGAGCTTAATTATGTTATAGACGAGCACATTGATCCTGATACTGGTCGTCCTTATATGCCTACGGTTTCCGGTGAATTAGGGTTTTTGAAGTCTGTGATTATGCCTATTTATAACACTATTAAGGTTGAGGTTGATAGTAGCAGAAATGGAAAGGCTCCGCACTCTGCGTGGAGGAATTATGATGACATTAATGAGTACTTTTGGAGTAGGAGGTGTTTGAAGAGGCTGGGGTGGCCTTTGAGTTTTGAGTGTAACTTTTTTGGGACTACTCCGAAGGAGAAGCGGGTGGGGAAGACGGGGTTTGTGGAGCAGAGGTCGTTTTGGAATGTTTACAAGAGTTTTGATAGGCTTTGGGTGATGCTGATTTTGTTCTTGCAGGCTGCGGTTATTGTTTCTTGGGAGGGTACCACTTATCCATGGCAGGCGTTGGAGAGGAGGGATGTGCAGGTCAAGATGTTGACTCTGTTTATCACTTGGAGTGTTTTGAGGTTGCTTCAATCTGTGCTTGATGCCGGGACTCAGTATAGTTTGGTTACTAGAGAGACCACGTGGCTTGGAGTGAGGATGGCGCTCAAGAGCATGGTTGCCATAACGTGGACTGTTTTGTTTTCGGTCTTTTATGGATTGATTTGGCTTGAGAAGGGTTCTAGTACAATCTGGTCTGATGATGCCAATCAGAGGATTTATACATTTCTTAAAACTGCCCTTGTCTTTCTTATCCCGGAGTTGTTATCATTGGTACTGTTTGTGGTGCCATGGTTGCGAAATATCATTGAGGGATCGGACTGGAGCATAGTGTACTTGTTGACGTGGTGGTTTCATACCCGGATTTTTGTGGGCCGCGGTGTGAGACAAGCGCTTATAGATAATATAAAGTATACTGTTTTCTGGGTATTGGTATTAGCTTCAAAATTCTCATTCAGTTATTTTGTTCAGATCAAGCCTCTAGTTGCTCCTACAAAGGCTCTTTTGAATCTCAGGGGTATTCATTATAAATGGCATGAGTTTTTCAGCAACACCAACAGGATAGCAGTTGCCTTGCTATGGTTTCCTGTTGTGCTGGTATACTTCATGGATTTGCAAATATGGTATTCAATTTTCTCTGCCTTTTATGGTGCGACAATTGGTCTGTTCTCGCATTTGGGTGAAATTCGGAATGTGGCACAACTCAGACTTAGATTTCAGTTCTTTGCCAGTGCAATGCAGTTCAATCTGATGCCAGAGGAGAAGCAGCTAAGTCAGCAAGCAACACTGCTAAAGAAGCTTCGTGAAGCCATCCACCGGTTGAAACTGCGTTATGGACTTGGCCAGCCCTTCAAAAAGCTTGAATCAAACCAAGTGGATGCTACCAGGTTTGCCTTAATATGGAATGAGATTATCATAACTTTTAGGGAGGAAGATATCATCAGCGATCGAGAACTCGAGCTCTTAAAACTGCCGCCGAATTGCTGGAATATTAGGGTCATTCGATGGCCGTGTACCCTTCTCTGTAATGAGCTACTGCTTGCTCTCAGTCAGGCAAAAGAGCTGGAAAATGAGTCTGACCGGTCACTTTGGTTGAAAATATGCAAGAATGAGTATGGCCGATGTGCTGTCATTGAAGCTTATGATAGTATTAAATATTTGTTTCCCAGGGTCATTAAACCTGAAAAAGAAGAACATTCCATTGTTACTAACATATTCAGGGTAATAGATGTCTACATTCAGATGGGGAAGTTAACCGAAGTGTACAACATGTCTGTGCTACCAAAGATACACGGTAAGGTCAGTGAATTTGTTCAGCTTTTGATACAACCAGAGAGAGACAGGAATAAGGCTGTAAATTTGTTGCAAGCTTTGTATGAACTGTTTGTTCGAGAATTCTCAAAGGCAAAGAAGACCACCCTTGAGTTAAGGGAGGAACGTCTGGCACCACAAAGTTTAACAAGTGATGAAGGACTGCTCTTTGAGAATGCTATAGAGTTTCCTGATGCTAGAGATGCAGTCTTTACTGAGCAGCTCAGACGATTGCATACAATTCTTACTTCAAGAGATTCAATGCACAATGTCCCATTGAATCTCGAGGCACGACGACGGATTGCTTTCTTTACCAATTCTTTGTTCATGAACATGCCTCGTGCTCCCTATGTTGAAAAGATGATGGCTTTCAGTGTTTTGACCCCATATTATGATGAGGAAGTTATGTATAGCAAAGAGGCTCTCCGGAAGGAGAATGAGGATGGTATTACTACTTTGTTTTATCTGCAGAAGATTTATGAAGATGAATGGAAAAATTTTATGGAAAGGATGCGTAGAGAAGGGTTGAAAGATGAGGATGATATCTGGACTACAGAAAAGGTCCGGGACCTCCGCCTGTGGGTATCTCATAGAGGTCAAACACTGTCTCGCACAGTTAGGGGGATGATGTATTATTATAGGGCTCTTAAGATGCTTGCGTTCCTTGATTTAGCCAATGAGATGGATGTAAAACAGGGATCAGAACATATTGTTTCACATGGTTCAACAAATCAAAACAGCAGCTTGAATGGCCTACCCTCAGATAGGCATGTAAATCTCAGACCGGCAGATAGCAGTGTGTCCATGTTATTCAAGGGACATGAATATGGGAGTGCACTAATGAAGTTCTCATATGTGGTGGCATGCCAGATGTATGGGCGCCACAAGGCAGACAAGAATCCCCGTGCTGATGAGATATTGTATTTGATGCAAAACAACGAGGCCCTTCGAGTGGCATATGTTGATGAGGTTTCTTTAGGGAGTGAGGGAACTGAATATTACTCTGTTCTTGTGAAGTATGATCAGCAGTTGCAGACTGAGGTTGAGATTTATCGGATCCGGTTGCCTGGTCCTTTAAAACTTGGAGAAGGGAAACCGGAAAATCAGAATCATGCCATAATCTTTACACGGGGTGATGCAGTTCAGACCATTGATATGAATCAAGACAATTATTTTGAGGAGGCTATTAAAATGCGGAATCTGTTGGAGGAGTTCAATATCCACTATGGTGTTAAGAGGCCAACAATTTTGGGGGTTCGAGAAAATATCTTCACAGGATCTGTTTCCTCACTTGCATGGTTCATGTCAGCTCAAGAGACAAGTTTTGTGACATTGGGTCAGCGTGTTCTGGCAAACCCTTTGAAAGTACGAATGCATTATGGTCATCCGGATGTGTTCGACAGATTCTGGTTCTTGGGCCGGGGTGGAGTCAGCAAGGCCTCTAGAGTGATCAATATCAGCGAAGATATTTTTGCAGGTTTCAATTGTACCCTGCGAGGTGGCAATGTGACACATCATGAATATATACAGGTAGGCAAAGGAAGGGATGTTGGTTTGAATCAGATATCCATGTTTGAGGCCAAGGTTTCTAGTGGCAATGGTGAGCAGGTCCTGAGCAGAGATGTGTACAGGCTAGGCCATCGATTAGACTTTTTTCGCATGCTTTCAGTGTTCTACACAACCATAGGATTTTACTTTAACTCCATGGTTATTGTACTGATGGTTTATGCTTTCCTTTGGGGCCGCCTTTATATGGCTCTCAGTGGCATTGAAGATGAGGCCATCAATAATGCTTCCAACAACAAAGCCCTTGGTGCAGTCCTAAATCAGCAGTTTGCAATCCAGGTTGGTATTTTCACTGCACTCCCAATGGTTGTCGAAAACACCCTTGAGCTTGGGTTCCTTCCAGCTGTTTGGGACTTCTTGACAATGCAGTTGCAGCTTGCATCGCTATTCTACACATTTTCTTTGGGAACTCGTACACATTTCTTTGGTAGGACTATACTTCATGGTGGTGCTAAGTACCGAGCCACTGGTCGTGGTTTTGTGGTGGCACACAAGAGTTTTGCTGAGAACTATCGACTTTATGCTCGAAGCCATTTTGTGAAGGGCATTGAACTTGGGGTTATTTTAATTGTGTATGCTTCTCACAGTCCCTTGGCTAAGAATACTTTTGTGTACATAGCTATGACAATTTCAAGTTGGTTTCTTGTAGTTTCATGGATAATGTCTCCTTTTGTCTTCAATCCCTCTGGGTTTGATTGGTTGAAGACTGTGTATGATTTTGAAGATTTTATGAATTGGATATGGTATCCAGGTGGGCCCTTCAAAAAGGCAGAATATAGCTGGGAAACATGGTGGAATGAGGAGCAAGACCATTTAAAAACAACGGGCATATGGGGAAAGCTGCTGGAAATCATTTTAGACCTTCGATTCTTCTTTTTTCAGTATGGCATTGTTTATCAGCTGAGTATTGCTGGTGGAAATACTAGTATAGCTGTTTACTTGCTGTCTTGGATAGTCATGGTTGTGATTGTTGGCCTTTATATCATCATAGCATATGCCCAGGATAAATATGCTACGAAGGAGCACATATATTATCGATTAGTTCAGCTTCTTGTGATTGTAGTCACAGTTCTTGTAGTTGTCCTCTTACTGCAGTTTGCTCATTTAAAATTTATTGATCTTCTATCAAGCTTGTTGGCATTTGTTCCAACAGGCTGGGGAATGATTTTAATAGCTCAGGTGCTTAGGCCTTTTCTGCAGACAACTAAAGTGTGGGAGACTGTAGTTTCCTTGGCTCGGCTATATGATTTGCTGTTTGGGGTTATTGTTATGGCTCCAGTGGCAATACTCTCATGGTTACCCGGATTTCAATCAATGCAAACTAGGATTCTCTTTAATGAAGCTTTCAGTAGGGGTCTCCAGATATCTCGAATAGTTAGTGGCAAGAAGTCTGTTTAAGATGTGATGTGATTGGAGGTAACTTTTACATCACGTTCTTTATAAGTCCATTAACTGAATATGAAGACATTGTTATATTTCTCGTTGTTAAGTGATTAATTACATTGAAGCAGAATTTTACAATGTAAACTACAATTTACCATGGTGTATACATTAGGAAGTTGTTCCTTGAAATAATTTGCTATTGAGTTAACCCATGCACTCTGGAATGGTAGTCCAATTTAAAATTACTATTTGAATTGTAAATGTATAACTGTGCTTATTTACAATTACACTGATAAGATAAATGCATGTGCAGGTCTTACCTAAAACAATAGGGTTACACCTAGCTGCTGAGAGTTGCGTTTCTCTATTTTCCCAGGTAGTCGTAGCTACTTAGAGAAGCGTTTCTGTATTTTCCCAGGTAGTAGTATCAACATGATAGTGGACCAGTACAAGTTACCACCTACAAGCTTCTAACACGTGGTTGAGGACCGCTAGTTTCAAGTCAAAGCTCGTTGTATTGCGATGACTAATGGATGCCTACAGATAAATCCATGTATGTACATATCAAGCAAACACTGATTTATTAACTCTATTTCCATACAATTTAGTTAAGCAGCAAAATATTGTTTGATGAATCATGTGTTTGTTGTTTTAATAAAGTCAATGTTTTATTGAGGGCGTGAAGGCCATCCAAATTTTCCCTTTGCTAATTGATATACAGTATTTTATTTTTTTAACTTTCTAGCAAGCTGCTAATAGTTGTGGAAGTTGATAAAATATGCACATGCCTTTCACATTCCATTTGTCTGTACCGAATAATATCAATGTTAATTAATATGTAATCTTGGATATATTAGTATGTCTATCATTCTTTTAGCATAGATTCTGACACTTGTGCAATTTCTTCCGTTGTTCATACTTTGATGGTAGGATAAGAATGGCATGAGAAATCAATTGAGTCTGGGCACTATGATCCTACTTGGATAAACCTTTACTATAAACCCTTTTAAGAGGAGAAATTAAATAAGTTTCTCCAAAAATTAAAATTAAGTTGTGCTTAAATTAATTTGGAGAAATTATCTCATAATTAGCCTTTTCAAAATATGTTTTTAACTTATGTACAAATTAATTTTAACTATGGAGAAGTTAATTTAATTTTTTCTTATTTTATTCTCTTGGAAGTGTTTATAGAAAAATTTGTTCTAAAGGCCCTATATCTTTTAACTGAGTATGGAAGCTGTTGAACTAAAAATTATTCTGTTATAATAATTAGACCTGATTCATATTCTGTGACAAATAAGATGAGCTGGAATATGTGGATAACTACTGTGAACTATGCTTTGAACTTTTTTACATGGTAAATCTCAGGTACGGTGAATCTCTGCCTCAGTAACTTCACTACACAGAATATTTTAAGGGTTTATAGGGTCTTCAAATATGATGTGTCATGCTGTTTTTTGGACAATGCATGTGTGTATCCTTTGATAACAATTACTAGATCTTTCCTAATAATCAACAAAGAAAATATTGAATTTTCAAAAATTAATGCAACTATTTTTACATTTAATATTTCTTTTATGAAGTGTTAGGAAGAGTGTGAAGAATAACTTGAAAGTGAATATAGCCTTATTAATCATATATTTTTGTTCTTAATAGAATTTTTTAATTCAAATTCAAATTTTGGTATTTATTTTCAGGTTATGCAATGTGAAAACGTAAAGGTTTAGCCTTCTTTCAGTGACACCGGGGGCTTATTTATAACTAACATTCCCGTTGACACAATTTATCAAGGATGGAGTCTGATTGTGATTTTACATCAGTACATCATCATGCATCCAATTGCTGTCTTGTTATTTTCCTTCCACGCAGGTTGTGAATCTCTAGTTTATTATCGGAGGATTAATGTTTTAGCCGTGTCTGTCTTTGACTATTGACTTTCTGTACATCCTGTTCATATATGTAGTGCAACCTGCTCTTAACCAAACACGACATTGCTACTGAATCCAACGGTTCTGTCGGCTGCTGCCAAGGATCCTGCACTGCAACCATGGATAGTATTATATAAATCTTGCCTTATTGCTGATTTTGAACTTGAATTTGAATAATTAGTCATTATGGAACCCGAAACATTTGCTTTCACCAATAAAAGAATCACTTCAAAAAGTTCCTTTAATCAGCTCGTATTTAGAAGGGGAAAGTTAATTTTGAAGAATTTAATTATAATTATCAAGTGTATAATTTATTTTATGTGGATAGCGGAGAATAAACTCCTATATATAAAATAAGAACAATTATGTTGTAAGAATATTTTTACAAGTTTTTAATCGACGAGGAATTTTAAGGATATTTTTAGTTTTATATTTAATTTATTTTTTATTTATCATAATTAAATAAAAGTTATATTTTAATATTTTAAAATAAATTATCAATAAATTTTTTTATACTATAATATAAATTATTTATAAT